CTAGTCGACGAAGGGTTCATTTCGAAGGGCTGTTTCATTCCGGTGCACTTACGTTAACTTCGATGATCTCAAGTGGAATCATTTCTGAAACTACACTACGCGTAGAACGAAAACGAAAATATTACAACCGCGTAACTTTAAGCGAACTCTCGACTCGTTTACCGTTTACCGTTCTAATATCATTTAAACAAACATCGAAACGTTCACGAACTCTCATTCGATCGACGCGCGATTTATTGTTAAATAACGACTGATTCATCAGCATTGTTCCCGCACGAGTGAAACGAAACTGTAGCTTTTTATCAATTCCCCTATCTCCACGGCCTTAAACAGTGAAATGAAAAGGCAAATACGCTATTTCCAGATCGACCATTAATTTTTTAGCCAAGCACACAATACACACACACACACACACACATACACATGATATGGCGCGTCGATATCGATTTATGTCCCCGATCGAGCTATAGATCGCGAGGTGAATCGGGTGCTTCTCGATCCAAAGACATGCTACCATTCTCACAAAGAGATTTATTTTTCTATAAGAAAGTTGTACATTTACTTGGTTGTGCGAACAGCTGGAAATTGTGCTCACCTCGTGAAGACTCTACGTGTTGCAAAGACCATTGCAAAAATTGTTCATTTCTGTTGTTGTTTCTTCGAATTTGCTTTCGCCGTCTGGTTCCTAACGACAAATTTTGCCTCGTTAAAAACGTGAATCTCTGAGTTGAAGGAATTAATTAAATTAATACAACACGTCGAGTCGTTCAAAGGCGAGAAAGTGGTGCAACTACTATACAGCAATATTATAGCGAGAGAACGATCTTTTATATACTGATACTTTCACGACGACAATGATTCGACTGCTGTCATTTCGCATTCGATCTCTGACGCACGTATACATATAGGTACACAGAAGTTACCCTATAGAGTTATTGTAAGCTTTTGTATGATACGAGCGCGCCCTGAATGATCTACACACATTCGTGGTCACACGAAAACGGTGTACAGATTCGAGGGAGAGATTATTTTTACTCTTAAACACGTTAAGCTAAGCCATCGAACGATATTGATTGAAATTTAATCGACTCTGAACTATTGTATATATATGTTTGAAACGTCTCGTTTATTGAAAAAAAAAAAAAAAATTCTTCTAAACGCGCATATTTCGGGTCATCTATTTGGCACGAACTTTACGTATAATTAACGCACTCCACGCGCAATTATATCCCAAGTGCACGAGTACATGAATGAATAATGTATCATGTGCATTTTGGAATATTACTGCGATGTATATTACAGTGTATTCTTATCACTTGCCCCGTCATTTTAATTCAAACACTTTCGCTCGGCCGCTAAATTAAACGCGAACCGCGAACGATAACACCGTTTGAGCCTAGAAACTTTGCCCAATTTCCTCGGAGAAGATCCTTCGGATTTATAAAACAAGAATATCAAGAGAATAACTGCGACGCGTTTAAACGGAAGAATTTTGCCTAATTTCCTCGAGCAACATACTCCCGGTCCTCATAATCGAACAAATGTATCAAATGGATATTACAACACGTAGAACGATAGAGGACTTCCTCCTGGTCGACTCGCGAATCGACTCGCGCTGTAAATAATTCTACGCGATCGATCAATCGTCTGTTTCCCGTCCTGAGGCGTCTTCGAGCGAACTCTGCGAACGCATGAAATATTGTTCGTCACTTTCTTTCGTTCGCGCGTTTCGCGAGTAACGAGGCAACCATAATCGCGTGCTAAACTGTACATATAACGTGTCTACGATGTAAGTTAAATAAAAGCGTCGTACTTCCATGAATCTTTGTATGCTGTAAGATAAACGAGCGACCCCGACTTAACGTTTAAAGTACAACGCACTGGATTCACGTGCTCTCGACTAACAATAAGGGATACGCTGTACATTGTCACGGATATTTCCGACTTCTCTATCATACATATGTACGATACGGTACATGATGAATTCTTTATTAGCCTCGTTTATCGAGATGACGCGCTGCTTCGAGGGAAGAACGATCGTCGAAATCCTGGCTACTTTTTAATCGCGGTATGATTAATACCGTTTAAGGAGATCGGCGTGTTGAAAACTTGGCAAGCAACGTTTCTCCATTTAAACAGCTATTAAGGGACGAGGTTTTGTTAAAATGGGATGAGAGTTGAAATTTCGTTTCGTACGTACACGTCATCCATTGGATAACTGAAAACTATATCGGAATTGTAACACGAACTTAGCGAAAATAATCTTGGAAAGGAAAATATGTATTGCGTATATGGACGTTCGTTTTCGACATCGAATACCTGTCTTCAAGGTGTATACGTTGTGTTTCTACGACTCTGTATTTTGCAAATGTATCATACTAAAGAAACTGAAGATATATGTAAGTATATACGCGGCTGGTAAATACTTACATATATTTGAATATCGTACATCAAGAACGAGCGATATTATAGTACTTATAGAAACAAGGTTTTTTTTAATAAAACGATGGAATTATTCCAAAAACTGCACGAGTCTTTCTTAAACTTCTATTTTATTGAAAACTTGTATAATGTACAAACAGGCAAACAGGCAAACTTGCTAAGAATCAGTCTGCGAATTTGCTAGCAAATGTTATGACTGGGCACCGCGTTTCTTCAGTGCCTTTTTAACCTTCTTCTTAAACTCGTCCAAATTTACTACGTCAGTCTGTTCTTTCTTTTCTTTGGACTCCTCTTCAGGAGGTACAAATGCTTGCGCTCTACGTTCTTGCCTCTTCTTCTCAGCCTCTTGGTGCCTGATGTTCTGTTCCCTCTTTCTCTTCGCTCTCATTTGCTCCTCCTTCAAGAAATACTCTCCAGAGGCCATCATCTTGTCTAGCTTGCTCTCCTGTTGAGGAGGTGGGAATGGAGTATACGGTTTCTTTTCTTTCTTGTTCTTCGGTTGTTTCCTCTTGCTAATGTTCTTACTGTTAAATTTAGGCAAAAACCTTTCCCAATTTTCATTCTTCAATTTCGGATCTTTCGCCAGCTCTCTCTTAATCATCAACGCTTTGATGTTGTAAATGGGATGAATATTCTTCATAGTATCTTCAACGATACGTCTCACTTGCGCAAGACCCTTGTAAGGGCCTAATGCAGCTACAGTCTGTCCTTGCACTACAACGTAACAGTTTGTCAACAACTCAATAGATTTCAAGGTACAACCTTTAGGCCCTATGAGCCTCTGACGTCTCTTGACAAACTTCTCTCTGTTTCTTACAAAAGAAGAGATTTTTATGATATCTGCACCAATGTCATCTTGAAGCACTCTCGCCGCTTGCTCGAAGGGTACAGATCTAGACATAAGTTTGATCATGTCACGAGCTTTAACTATAATATAAGGATCCCACGTTTTTCTGGTAGTCTTCACAGTCATGCTACCTTCGATCAGATCCATCTCAGCCTTGAGTGCATGTTCATCCAACGCTTTTTGTATCAATGGCCAATGTTCTTTCAAGTATTGTTCTCTATACTTGGGGAACAAAGTAGCGAATGAACTCTCTTCGAGTAAACGATGAGGATTATCCTCAGGCTTGAAAGCCGGGATTTTTAACGACCAAGCATTGTCCACCGGTCGTGTTGTCGTCGGACCATCCTCCTTTTCGGAATCACTCATTCTTCACACAGTATTCTATCATTCCATTAAACAGATAAACTTGCTAAATCTCACACCAAGAATCGTTTGGTCACTTTCACGTCACAAGAATTGAATCGATGTCATTGATGTCATAATAATGTTTTAAATAATAACGTTTCTAAATCGATGTACGCGACAGAAATTTTAATATTTGTTTACTTGTACTTACACGTGACAATTGAGTGTGTCGAACTCGAATTGAGGTTAGGTTACTGACTTCCACCAGCGGACGAATCGCGCAATTGCAAGATGGTGCCCGATATCGAAGCGTTTAAACGAGATGTTCGTGAAAGACAAGAGAATCTAAATTATATTTAATAAAAATTAAGACTTGTATGTCGTCTAATAAATAGAACATTTGGACAACACAATCTGTACAAAAATATCGAGAATTATTTGACAAATATTTAATAAACTCGAAAACTTTCCACAATACAGAGCGTACAAAGTGTGCGGCGCGCGAAAAGCGGACACGAACTACTGCCACCTCGCGGCGTACTACGGAGTTACACAAATTCCATTGGCGCGATTTATGATTGAACTGTCTAGAGTTACGTATCTCACATTCACGTATTTATCTTCAATTGTCGTGATTAATACAAATTGGAATATTATAATGTAATCAATAAATACTTAAACTATGCATTAAGTTATCTTTCAGCTGGCAACAGTGTTTTTAAAAGGGGATTTCACTTAATAACAAAATGAACGCGTAAGTTATCTATGACGCAGTTTATTATACAATTACAATACTCTTACTAATCATATTGTGATAATGATCGTAGTAATAGTATATCCTAGTATAACATGAACTATTCCAGAGTTGATATGACTTTATTTATACATTTTTCCATTAGTACACGCGCACCCACCTTTTCCACATTCTCTCCATCATTCACTTCAATTTCCGGTTCAAAGTCCTGCAGAGGACCAACGCGGAACACCAAGGGCGGACGTCGAGAAAACACACGTTTCGCAATTAATTAATTTCTAATCGTAATGCGTAGTCCCGTGGCATGAGATTTCATGATCACGTGTACGCGAATGAACTGTCTTAAAAAGATCGCGAATCTCTCACGAACACGCCTCTAATTCTCAGTACAAAATAGTTTAGACGACTTTGTCATCGAACAAGGACTTGCCCCTATTCTCACGATTCTAAATATTATTTCGTTTAATCTTTTAAGAACTGTCATACCGTGCTCTTATTATTTTTAGTTTTTTTTCTTTTTCCCTTTCATTCCTCTTAATTAATTATATCCTCTAAATTTTTAGTTCTGTCTCACTTGTCACAGTGTTACTGTTTAATGTTACCTCCAGTTTTTATTACTTAAACGTTACTCCTAGGCATCGAGTCGAACGACGCTCGCGTCCCAATATTAACGAGTTACACATCGAATTGTTTAATAGACTTCTATATAACGCTAGAGTTCTCTCAGAGACAATTATACACCGCTACTGATTGAGATTAGTCGACTAACTCTCGATGTACCAACCGCTTCGGTTTCGTTGGTGCTGCCATCTCGAAAGGGAACGCGCTCCTTAGCGCGTTTTCTTTTTTTTTTTTTTCTTTTTTTTTCTTAACGCGGCGTTTCCTCGCGCAATTTTTACGCTATTTCGCATATGTATTTACAGGAAAAACGCGATGGGACGGTAGGAGTAAAATCTTACGCGTTTTCACATTAACTTCCGACGAATCTTCGTCTCGAATATTATAACGAAATACCCGATCGAATGTTTAAAATTAAATCCATACACTCTGTGCCCGAAGAACGAAAAAAATTTAAAGAGGCTCGTGATTAAATACTTGCAAAACGTTGCCAGATAACAATAATGCACGTAGCACGTAACATCATGCTGATGCTTAGTCTTCCTAACCCTCGACTGGTAAACCTACTGGCGACATTGCGTAAACGTGTCTCGAGTTCTTGAAAAATCAATAAAAGAAAATGAAAGAAATAAATTCCATAGCTCTTACTCTGTCGATTAAGTGTTATCGGATATAGTAGGAAACGCTCTAGGATTATCTGCATGTTCTCTATAAAGAAATGAAAACAGGAAACGCAAAGGATAAACAGAAAGAAAATGAAGAAACAAAAAGTAACTAAAGTCTGTCTAGCACTTTTATTTTCAAATAATAAAAGTTAAAATATAATGAAATAATTAATAATAATAATTAATAATAATAATAATAATAATAATAATAATAATAATAAAAACCAGTGTAATAATCTATCGCTTGCGAAATGCGCTGGCTTATTGAAGTCCACGAAAAAAAAAAAAAAATAAACGAATGACACGTCGATTAAAGGTGTGGGTTCAATTCTTGGTTCGATTCTATTCTTTTTTTTCTCATCTATCTACAACAAAATATTTCCGATGAACGAAAAAAAGAAAAAAAATGAAAAAAAAAGGTAGGAAAATGTAAGTCCCTAATTTACATGCTGCTCGTTTCTCATTCTCCGTCTCAGGAATTGTGTTCTTTCCGCTAGACCAGTTTTTCCTCACATTTCTATTGATTACACATCCGTTCATCGTGCTGAATTTATAAAACGTCTACGTAACGCACTCGAAACCTGGTGCTCTAGGAACTCTTTTTTTTTTTTTTT